TAGTTTCTTATTTGTAAAGTTTATAACTATGAGTCAAATTATTTCTTATTCTCATTAGTTTGCCTGTCATTGCTTTTCTGCCCATCCTTATGGGCTCACAGCACACACTTTAGCCTGCCCATCCTTATGGGCTCACAGCACACACTTTAGCCTGCCCATCCTTATGGGCTCACAGCACACACTTTAGCCTGCCCATCCTTATGGGCTCACAGCACACACTTTAGCCTGCCCATCCTTATGGGCTCACAGCACACACTTTAGCCTGCCCATCCTTATGGGCTCACAGCACACACTTTAGCCTGCCCATCCTTATGGGCTCACAGCACACACTTTAGCCACCTTTGTGGGTGGTGTCTGTCCAATATGCTCATGGATGCCATTATCGCCTAAGTCCTTAGGAGGAACGCTAATACCAGTTTTCGAAGTTGGTGATATCATTGTCCTTTATCTTCATATTAAACATGGATAGCACCAGGGTATTTTTTTTAATTCTATCAACAATATACACAACAAATGGGAACTGAAGCTCTATTTACTCATACCAGATTAATTTGACTTTGAAAGATACCAATTGAAGGAAGGGGAGTTTGCTTGGTGTGTGAGTGCATTTCATGAAGTGCTGGCTTGCTTTCCTGCTCATCCCCTGAGAACCTGGCTTCAGGGGAAGCTGGGGCAGAGGGGCAGAAGGGCAGAGGGGCAGAGGGGCAGAGCCACATCTCTTCCCAGGCTGAGTCAGGCCCGCACAGCTGTTGGCTGGGCATGAACGTGGGCGGCCACCTGTGGTTCTCAGAACAGCTGTTTGGTAGAGGGCCAGACAAAGCCCATCATGGGCTGGAGTGAGGAGGCCAGTTGGGTGGCCAGCACATTCTGGCATGGGCTGAAAGAACACCTGCTTCTACTCTGTGGACCTCCCACAGAAGGTCAGAGAATGTTCTCACTGGCGGCAGCCCGATGGATGGCCTGAGTTCCCAGTGGTCCTACTTCAACTGAAATAGAGAAAAACTCACCTTTCCCATTTGAAACTTATCCTGAAGCTAATCTGGGAATCACTGAGCTCTAACTATGCTGAAATAGGTCACCTAGGTCATTTGGTATGTTTGGAAAAGATGTGGGAGCTGTCAGGCAACAGTGAGCCCTGTGACCTGCAGCAAGGTTTCCAGGGAAGGTGACTGTGCCTTCCAGATGGCTGTGACAGACATCTTTTCTCCTAGACTGGGTCTGATCTCCTTTCCCACCAATGCTAACTACACACCTACAAAGCACTTGGGTCCTCAATGGTCATTTCCTCATCAGAAACTGAATCTCCATCCTTAACATGAGCACCCACCCACTGTACCAAAGCTTAGACCCTGAGGTCCTTCCTACTGTTTTCTAGGAATGAGGACTCCACTTCTTCTGGACTGGTGAGTCAGTTTCTCTCTGACCTATGGCACCCTCCCCAACTTCCCATCCCAAATGTAGACAGCCCCTGCCCCATGCCAAGGGATTAGCAACCCTCTCACTGGCTCTGTGGCTCTTAGCAACTAACTCCGTTGATAGTGACAGGCTGGTTGATAGTGTTGTCCTCTGGGTTCTGCTCTAACCTGTCCAATGAGGGAGCATATGCTAAGTACCTAGTGTAGGACATGATTGGCACAGTCACTAAGTAAACCTGAGTCAGATGCGGAAATGACTCTAGGCTAGCATTTCCTACTGCTGTCTTTGCTTAGGATTTCAGCGGTCCCAACAGCAATTTACTGTGTGCACACTAGTGTGAGCTCATAAGATCACCCACAACCACTCTTGCTGCTGCAGCACAGGTTGGATCTCTCCCTCTGTCTGCGTCCTGGATGCCTTGAGTGAGCAGCTTTCCCCTACCAGGTCTTTCCAGCATGTTTCTTTCCTCTGGCACAGGCCTGAATCCAAAAGAGTCAGCCAGCCATGGACTGCAAACGTGAGCCAAGAAACGTTCGTCCTTCTTGTAGGTTGCTTCTTTCTGATACTTTTACAGTTGACTAGTACCAGAGAGACCCAATTCCAGATCCAGGGGGATTGGCTTTCACAAGTAATAAGAGCCACACTATGAAATCTATCTGGTCAGACATGATGTTCCATAACTTTGAGGTGCAAAGCAATACTCGGGTTCTTCAGCATTCAGAAGCAAAGACACCGGCAGTGCAGGGCCTTGTGTTATTGTAATGAAAACAGGACATGGTGGTGAAAACCAGAGGCTCTCAATAGGCTAAGGGAAGGCGTGAACCAAAACTCAAGCCACAGCTCAATTTCTGGCCTCAGCCACCATCTACAGAGAAATGAAGGACATAGACACTTAAAGTAACCCTTTGAGAAAGAGAAGAGAGACGAGACCCCTTCACTTTTGAGCTCAAGCTTGAGTCTTGAAATCTGAAGCACAAAACTACTTTGAGCTCCCGTGCTTTTGAAGCCCGAGCTAGTTACCCATTTGTTCTAATGGTAAAATTAAAATTCCAAGAGCAGGTTATCTGCTACTCTTTGTCCAGGGACTGATTCCGTGTCCGTACTATGACCACTTATTTAGAATTTCAGACTCTCCTGGGCTAAGATTTTTTTCTCTCTCCAAATTCCAGTTCTTTCTCCTTCTTTTAAAAAGAATTCATTGTATGCCAGCCATTCAAATTCATAGTTTTGTGACCCAGGTCAATATGTAGCCATGCCTTTTTGGTCTCTAATGGCTTAGGGATTGGACTAGTGCTCCCTAGGGTGTAGGAGAATCTTCTGAGAGTCAGGCACCAGAAGGAAAGAAAGCATCTCATTAGGCGCTTGAAAGCACAAAAATGGACCCATCATCGGATAGGAGTTTAAATTATGCAAGTTTTGTTATTTGATGTCCCTTCTCCCAACCCTAACAGACTTAGCTTTACAAATGCTAAATGGTTGTTCCCACAATCTCTTCATTAGTAGTGTTTGTAGTGTTATCACATTTGGGGCCTAGGATAGCCCAGGGAAACACTCTCCCAAGACTGTATAATTAGTTCATTTGGCTCAATCTTATTCTGTCTGATTGATGATTGATTGACTGGATATCCCGAGACAGGGTCATGATACATAGAAAAGGCTAGCTTCATACCCCTGCCTCTGCCTCAACCTACCAAGTGCTGTGATAATACTACCATGCCTGGCCTAATTAAATTTATTTTAACGTGCAATATTGCATGTGTATGTATGGGACATGAGATGGCAGAGTAGTTAAAAATTCACGTCTTCTTAGTTAACAGATGAGGTTATTATTATGAAAACATATGTTTCTGTATTATTGTCAGTCTAAGAAGAAATATCTGAAGATGGAAAGTTGTGGTCCTCGTGTTTCAATCATAGAAAAAAAAAATTCTTCAAGTGTGAGTTCATTGTTTAGTACTCTTCCACACTGAAGCATCTTGTGCCTTTAATAACAGAAATAACTTATAGGGGAGGAAAGAAGGGAAAATGTGCTCTGGGTGAAGGAAGGCATGAGGCAGTAGTCATGGTTTCCTGTCTAGCTTTAGGATAATAAGATGGTAGGTGGCTAGCTATTCTGGAGGGGTAACCCTCTGGACACCCTGAAGCCTTTGCATGTATTAGAGCTAATGCACTCAGACAGATGAAGTCCCCAAGGAGACATAATAAGATCACTGTAAACACCTCTATCGTGGCACTGCCTGGGTAAACTTGGACTAGGGATAGAACCCGAAGGGGCAGGCACTTTCTGCTTCAAGTTTAACTGAAAGGAAAATAGACAATGCCATCTGCATCATTTTTATAAGCTGAAGTTTTATTTTATTATTTACTGAATTATCTATGTTAAAAAAAAATCTGTGCCTGGTATGAAATCTCACTCCATCAAGTGTTAAATGACTTTCATTACAAGCTGGGAAAGGACAGGTGTTAGGAAACATGGCAATAAATTAGAATATAATTTACAAAAGCAAAAAAAAAAAAAAAAAAAAGTAACAGTGTACCACATTAATACTGAGTATAAAATAATAAGCAACCACTAATCACAATAATACAAAGGTAATTTTGTTCTGTATTATTAAGGATACCTATAAGACATTCACTCAAATACATCAATTCCTAATGAAATGGACTATTATACCTGTCTTTAGGGGTTCGATCATTGGGTACATTTAACGTTCTTTTTTGGGTAGGCTTTTACACCAGTGGCAGACACTGCCCCCAGCCCATAGGTACTCTTGTACCCTAAGTAGTCAATATTGCTCACAACTTTTGGAGTGCCTGCCCGAGCAGCCCAGCCTCAGCTGATGATCCTTGCTACCAAGTAGAACAGAGATTCGCGGAGCCACACGGGTGGCTACAGCAGCATCGGTGTTGTGTTATGGAAGATGCTTTGTGTTTTGTTTAACCTGCTAAGATTTAAATTCAGAGTCTAACTGAAAATATTGGACCCTGATATATCCATGCTTTGTTCCCCGTGGAAGGCTGTGCTGCCGGAGAGAACACGGGCTGACTCTGCCCTTAGCAGCAGCTGAGGTAGGCACTGCGAGGAAAGCCCTTGTGATGTTAGCTTCCACGTGAGGTAACCACAGCTTTTTACAAGTATGGTAAGAAGTCTTGTTGAAATAAAAGCATGAGCTAACATTTATGTTGGTAACAATCAGATCTGGATAGCAAGCCTGTGTCTAAACTGCCTCAGCAACCACACAGCCTTCCTTATTTCACCAGGGTACATTAGCACCAAGTTAACTGTCCTTGAAAAGGACTGAGGGGGTTCAAGTCTAGGCCAGGCTTCCATGGGCTGCCTTCCTCTAACGGAATGGCTATGATGACACTCGGGCTGATCTTCCTGGGGCAGCTACATGAAGGTCTTGGCGATACCTCTTGTTTCACTGGAAGCCTCTTCTGGAGAAGCTTGGGGGATGGTATTGACAGAGAAGCAGGGTATGACAGGCGGCGGCTGCTTACTCTGGAGAGTGGGGTAACATCCAGGCCAGCTGCACACAGCAAGCCAGAAGCTGAGGAGGCTTTTGGTGACAGACAACATTTCTTCTGACACACTGAAGTGTAATTTCAGAGCCCAGTGGTAGATATGTGTGAGACATGCTCTTAAATGAAAAAAATTCTCTCTGCTACAAAGTAGCTATTTAGTTTGTGTTTTAGATGATGGTGTATGCATGGGGCACATATGTGCACATATGTGAAGGACTAAGGAGGTGTGCTAGACACAAAGCACAGTCACCAAAGACCTACTACAAGCCACAAGTGTTCAAGTACAAAGTATTAATATAAACAAGTACCCTTAAAAAAAATCTAGTTGTAGCGTCTTCTGACGGCAGGTTGTGAAGCTTGAAGACAGGAAGACCTAAGCTCGTCATTTCCATCCTGTAAGATGTGAGTTTAGAACTTGACTTTGCCCAGGAAACCATGTTTCACATTTAATTGCCATTCAGAATATCAATAAAAATTACTTGGTTGAGTGACTGTTAGACTTTGTGATCTCTCTTCATGAGCTTCTCTTCTTTGGTTGTTATCCTTCCCTACTTTAAAACGCACAGAAATAGCACATTTATATGCAAGCAAACTCATCTGTCCCCCACAGCCAGGAGCACCTGCACACACACACATACACACACACATGCACACTTGCTCTCATATAAATAAATGCCCTTCTATCATATCAAAGAAGGGACATCTGGAACCCATCGTACTGTCAGCAAATCGCAGAAGGGCCTGCTTGGCTTTACTAAGCCAGTCTATCTTTTGCACGGCATCATCTCCGCAAGCTGAGCATGCGTGCAACAGTCCAACAGGGCAGAAGCTGATCTGTGGCTGGTGGGGATGTAAACACTAAGGGGTCAGCGTGACTCAAACAAGAAGTAAGGCATCCTGTGTGATGGCCGCAAAGGGCCTGGTACCTCATTCTCTGCCATACCCTAGGTCTGGCTTCTGCGTGAAATTGAAATGTTTTTCTCTTAAAGTTTTAATGGAAATCTCAGCTTCACTTGCGCAAAAGGCAAGTTGGGCCACAGTCTCTTAGCACTGAATTTATAGACTCGCACAGCTGCAGCGATTGCCGCGCGGCTTCAAACCAAGTCCCTCGCTGTTCGGTTTAATAGAGTTTTATCCATGGCTCACAGCAGTGTTCTGAACAGGGGGCTATTCCTAAGGAAATTAAGTGGGATAAAGAAAAATAGTACGAACTTTCGTTGCTTTTGATTTATAATTTTGTTTCTTAAATTACAGTTCAAAGCCCATTTTATAATTTAAATTGTGCTGCTACTGTGGTGAGATAAAGTATAGTAAATATTTTTAAGCTATGACTTAAGAATTCTGAATCTCTTCTACTCCTATAGTTGACCAAGTCATAACAACTACATTTTGAACAGTCTTAAATACAAATGGATTCAGTGTCATTGCTAAGTCCATAATAAAAATCATCTTAATGGTCCAAGGAGGTAAACAGGCTATTAGATTTACTCGAAAGAACACAAACGGTCCACAGCAAGCGACTCTCCCTGTGTTGTTTGGGTCTCTCGAATCTGGCATTCCCTCCTAATACCGTGTCCAGCACTTTGGATCAAAAATCCCACTTCACAGAAGTTAAAATAATATTGAAATCCTGTCAGCTGGGGCTGACCAGTGGTTACATTTTCCACAGGGTAATGCTTGTGTAAGGACAGCAATCCTCATCCTCTTGGTGGCTCTCTTTGATGGACGCATTTCCACGATGAAATGACAGGACTCGCCGGCTTTCCGTGGGTCAGTGTCCTTGGCAGGTCTTACAACACATCTGTCTGAAGTATGCTCGGCTACAGAACTTGAACTTCAGCACCAGTGGGCAATAAGCCACTTTGTTCACATCTTTGCACTCTAACAAATAGAGGCAGAAAGTGGAAAACAATTAGAGTCATATAAACAAGCCGATACGCCTGCCGGCTTAGCAAGGGTCCCTCTGGCCAATCCTCCTTCTCTTGTATGCCCATGTGATTTTTATACTTTTGTTTCTGTTTTTAAGCACACTGTCTGGAACAGCCTACCAGAAACATTCTTTTGATATATTTTAACACTCTTAAAAATGCAAGGCTTTTCTTCCAGACTTTTATAAGTGTGGCACATGCCCACTGTGTCTTGAAAGAATTAGCATTTGTTGGGATGGGTGATCACTTTAGACATCTTGGAAACATGAGTCATTTTTCTTACAGTGCTTTTATTGCTTCTTTCTCAAGGGTTATTTTACTCAACATGTAAGGTTATCCAAAATCAAACTTGAGTTTCATTGTTTGATACCAAAGTCCGCATGTCTCATGGGAACCCTGATGAAAAGAGACTGCCGGCGGTGGCCGGGCTTCAGCAACCCCTCTATACAAAGAGGAAAGCTGTGAGGGGTTGGTCTCAAAGGGCAGCAGTCTGTGGGCTCGGGAAACATGTAGAAAAGTCTTTTCTTAATTTGGAAGTGAGACATGGCCTTCTTTGGTCCTGTGTGTTCCCCCCTCGGTGTTAGAACTGCCACAGCTGCAATGTGCAGTTATGCAGCCAGAAGGGGAGGAATGAATCTTTCCAGTTCCCCACTGGGGCTGGTAGCAATGGCAGACGGATCACAGGGGCCTCTGATTAATATGAGCCCCACCTTCCTCTTCCATCAATCCAACCCACTGCTGTAAAAACTGACTCCTCTCAAGTACTATGGTCATTTTATTTCCTCGTGTTTGCCTACCCCCTCCTCTTCAATCCTTCCTTCCCTCTCCCTTATCTATTTCCCTGCCCAAGGGCATCCATGCATGTCTCCCTTAGTTTGTAATAGCCATAACCTGGAAACAACCAGGATACCCCTCACCCAAATAATGGATAGAGAAAATGTGGTACACTTACACAGTTGAGTATTACTCAGTAGGGGGAAAAAAACCCAATGACATCATGAAATTTGTAGGCAAATGGATGGAACTAGAAAAAAACATCCTGAGTGAAGTAACCCAGACCCAGAAAGACAAACATGGTATGTGCTCACTCATAAATGGATAGTTAATGTAAAGGATAACCAGGTTACATTCCATAACCCCTGAGAAGCTGAGTAACAAGGAGGACCCTAAAAGAGACATGCATGGCTTTGTCACTTCTAACACCCACGTGGCCTTTGTTAAATAACTTCAGCACTATAGTTCAGAAAGAAGAGCATGACAAGCCCTGCTGAATTGGCAAGGTATGTGCAAGGTAATGCATACAATAGAAAACTCTAGCCAAGGCATCCAGCTCAGTTAGCACAGTTTGTCCCCTTCTCATTAACCTCTGAGAGCAGTCAGTCATCATACATCATTTCTCTGAGATCGTCGATGAGTACCAGTACACATTTATGCAGAAAGCAAATCAACAGAGAGTCATTATACAGAGCAGCAGACCACAATGGGGCCAGCAGCCCAGAGCAAGGAAAGGCCTGGGCAAGTGATGAGGATGGTCAAGACTCAGATTGCAGACCTTGATGACAGGGGCTACTCAGGGCATTTTCACTGTGTAAAGCTCCTATACAGGGCCAGGTGGAAGGTCCAGTCCCTACACTTCGGTTTTACCTTCTAGGAACTGTTGTGACTAGAAAAATCAGTTCATTACATGGTTGGATTGATGAAAAGATCGTCACCAAAGCTGAACCACGGCTAGCTTTTTATTTGCTCAGTCTTTTAACTCCATAGAAGCTTAATTTAGCATTAGAAAGTGTAATTTATCAAGTATTTCCTTTATGTCAGGCACAGCCTCAGGCAGTTTTACACTTTTATATTTAATCCTTCTAAGTATGTGAAATGTCAACTTTACATAAATAGCAAAGCTTAGGTTCAAAAAGGTTTTGAACCCACGCGGGGTCATAAAGCTAGTCTCTATAAGGACTAGGAAGTTTAGGAACCCATGTTGGGACACAGAGCTAGTTTCTATAAGGACTAGGGTCAAACCTCAGGTTTCTCTGGCTGTGAAGTCAATCTTGATTTGGCAACATTGATGAAATGTAATTGACAGGCCTATGGAAGTCTCTATTCTAGCTGGCACAGTGGGAGCCTGTAGGGTACCACAGCCAGGTCATATAACTTTTGAGATTTTGACCTACTTTCTAGAGAAGGGGAGAAAGGAGCCCATTTCTAGGTCATCAGTACTCAGGGCAGACTGAATTACCCCTCTTAACTTTTTTTTTCATCATACCTACAAGAGTAAACAGTTGATGACAGATATAAAAAGTTTTAAAGCCCCATTGTAATAGGAAGCTGAATATTACCCTCAAAATGTTCAAACCAGGACTAAAGGTGCTGGTGATTTCTACCTCGGCACAGCCACTCTCATTAGCAAGAGACTAATTAGCAAGACACACTGCTGACATATTTGAGAGGCTTAATTATAAAACTTACCCCTTTACTAGTCTGCCTCATTCTCAAAATATGTTAAAATTATGAAACAGTTTTTTGTCATCTAATCTTGAGCTAATATATCATACAGCTAACTTATTATAGTTTAAAACAATTTTCATTATGTATTCATTGTACAGAGAATTGAGCTACATAAGAACATCTTCATAAAAGTATTTACTGTGTATTAAACACATGCCCTCTCCTTCTCCCTCCATTTTACCATCCCTCCGTTAGTGCCTTTGTTTTCCTAGAAAGTTTTACTTATATCAATGATTTGATGTAACTATTTGAAATCTGCAAACTATAAGTGAGAAAATCATGATATTTATTTTTCTGAGTCTGGCTTAATAAATGTGATTATTAACAGTTGTATCCATTTTCCTCCACATGGCATAAATTTGTTTTTCTTCATAGGTTTAAAAAAATCTTTATTCCTTTGCTGTTGGACACTTATACTGGTTTCATCTTTTAGCTATTGTGAGTTGTTACAGAAACATAGATGTACAAATCTTGCTGTAATAAAGGACTCAGAGTCCTTTGGTTAAACACCCAGGAGTAGCATAGCTGGGAATATAAACTAATTCACCTATTGTGGAAATGAGTTTGGAGTTCCAAAAAGAAAGGAAGGAAGGAAGGAAGGGAAAAAGAAAGGGAGAAAAAAGAAAACAGAAAAGGAAAACAGAAAAAGAAACAGAAAGAAAGAAAAAAGTTTTACCGTATGGCCTGTCTATACTACAGTAAGGCAGATCTTCCAGAGGACCTGGGTTCAGTTCCCAGCACTCACATGACATTTCACAGCAGTCTGTCACTCCAGTTCCAGGGGATGTGACACCTTTATACCAATGCACATAGCACATAAAATAAAGTTAAATAAATTAAAAATTAATCTCTGAATGACCTTCAGTTAGCACTTAGAAAGTTTCTCTGCATCATGTAATGCATGATGTGCAAATAAATGTTCTGGGAAAAGGATTAAAATGGATTATTCAGGTTTAGGGGAGGCCATAATGTCTTCTGTATTTGATCTCTTTAAAGATTTGATCTTTACTGTCATATTTCTCCATTACAGGCAGATGTGCTAGCATGGGGCCACTCTTCTGTGGCCTTTAAACAGCAGAACCCAAGGCAGGTCAGAGTCTAAGATGAGGGGGTTTGACTGTCTCCTACACCATCATGTACCAGTCAAGGGGGCTCTCAGGGAGAACACCTTTCTGTTGTTTTTGTGCTCAGGACTGGAAGAGTGAGGGGTCCTTGCTGTGTGGATATGAGGAGACATTTTGTCTCTACTCTTTTTATACCATACCCTAGCCCTGAAGAGAAACTGTCCTGAAGTATTTACAGTGAGAAGAAATCATTCAATGCTCCCAAACTCTTTTTATATTTCTATTATTAGAATTATATTTCTAATATTAGAATTGTAAGTAACCTGCCATACATTCTGGAAATATAGACTTTGGTGGATTTGAATAACAACATTAGATAACTAGCTTCAAAGGAAATATACTTATCATTGGCGTGCCAATGAATTTCTCCCAGGTGTTTTACATTAATCTTTCAAAACACTGACCTAGAAGAGATGCTTTCAAAATTAAACAGAGACTATGGATTTAGGACATGCATGGATTCAGACTCATTATGACTGTAAAGCTTGATTTGCTTCAAGTAATACAAGACCGATTCCCAAATGAGAATGCTCCTGCACTAAGTGCATCAGACACTGCAGACCTTGCCTACGTGTATCATGGGAATGAGTCAGAATACCCAATGGAAGAGATTTCCGGGAATGAGCTGGAGTGTTCAGCATGCACGCAGTTCAGGCAGAATGAAAAGAGAGAGGCTGCACACCCTTCATGCCTGTAAAAGCACTTTGTGAGATTCAGAAGACCATAGTAAATGGGCTATAAGTTGAACATCTAAGGTTTATCTTTTGGATTAAAAACTATGATTAGCTTCTGAAAACTTGTCCATGGAATGGAGAGTTCAGCAAGACACAAGAGAACAAAGGGGTGCATGGACATGTGGCACCAGAGCTGGTGTGAGTGTACTTTTCAGATAAAACTGTACTAAAGCCTTTGCCATTTGCTACATCTAGGCAGCAAGGGCTAACTAACAAGCTCCCAAAGCAAAGTGACCATCAGCCATTGCAGATCCCTCTGATTTCACATTAACACAGACTATTGTCCTCCTTTTCCCCTGGATGCTGCCCACCTCCAAACTCAAGATGTTATCATGCCAACTTAGACCCAGGTTCCCTCTGAAGTCAACGGGCAGGAGTGTGAATGCTAAATGGATTAGGAGCTCCTCGAAGTGATGAAGGAAAACAAACCCTGGTCTTCCCCATCTCCTTTAAATTGAAGTCTTCAAATGACCTTTCTTGTTCTTCTCACTGATTTTCATACATCAAACTACATATTAAGGACTAAATTCTGTAGCTATTTTTTCATAGATTTATGAGCTGTCCAGACTTCCTCAGAGAAGTGTTAGAGGAAACTGAGACTGAGTAAAGCCATCATGTGACATCTTAAGCTGGTGGGCCAAGGCTTACTACCTACTGCTTTCCTGGGTTAATTATTATTAGCTCATGGCATACCATGAATCGTTATTATCATCAGCAACAAATACTAGATGACAGAGTGCCTTGTGCTATTGAGAAGCTGAAAAGATTCCCCAAATAAACTATGAGGAAACTTGAAACTGCATGAACAATGAATAAAATGGCATTTGGAGATAGAATTTCGGGTGAGTCTGAATGGGCTAGACCCAGCTGCCATATGTACTTGGAAAAGTTAGTATTTTAAATGCAATGGTGCCCAGTCTGTCTATAATTCACTCTTGGCAGCAATGTGGTGTTACCCTCACAGTGGCAGCCTGTCAAGCCTGTCGGGGTCCTGCTATGAAGTCTTAACCTTTCACTGGGGCTCTCAGAGAGAAAGAGCGAGCGAGAGCAGATGTTGGACACAGGAAACTGCACCGCCCCTTACTTTTCCCATCTCCTTCCACTATTTTAATGTCTCGATGCCCCTCTTCTGGCTCTTTCTCTTATTATCGTTGACTGGCTTAAACGTCCCTCTATGTTTTCATCTCTATGTGTGTTTTTTTTTTAATCTTACTCAAATTCCATCATGACTGCACATGCTTGCCTTAGCCAGAAACACCCCACACCCCAGCATCTCCTTGGTAAACCGATAGAGCCTCCACTGCCCAGCTCCAGGTCATTGTGCCAGTGACATTTGTGACCATTACATCCCCGTGTATACTTGTGGAGCTTCTCTGTGTTTGTGCTAAAACTCTGCTCACCTTGCCACCATCCCCACCAAGTTATGGCTTTGTGGACAGAGCTTTGTGGGATCCCTCCCATAGTCTCAGTGTCTGGAAAAGTAAATGGATTAATGGCAGGAGGAATGAAGCATGTTCTTTAAAAAACACTGTCTATAGTTATGTACTGTCTGCTGAGCTGACCAGTTCCAAACCCACGGTCACACATATGGCCTTGATTAATCTCAGTGGGCCACAAAACAAAACAAATAGACATGAATGTGAGAGAGATTTGTGGGGGAGGAGAGTGAGCAGGGTTGGTAGGGAGGTTGGGGTGAGAGTAGTCAGCATCCAAGGTGTGTGTGTGTGTGTGTGTGTGTGTGTATGCAAAATGGTAAAAGTAAAAAACAAAAAAAACCCTACCACCTTGAAGATGGATTACATCTAAAACTAAAGCGAGTTAACTAGAATGTTAATGTAATAGTTTACTCTAGATGGTGGGTGCTCACTAAAGAATTCTTTCAACTTTGTTGAGTACTTGAAACTTTATTCTTTTCATAATAAAATATTGAGTAAGTGAGTGATCATTACCTAAACCTTGTTAGTTAAAACAATTCTCAAAGTTTTGACTACAGAACATTGTATCTGTAGCGCTCTATGTAAGAGCTGTGTTTTAGGTCCCAAGAGATTTCCCCTAACTACTCTGTAGCGGCAGAGCTAAACTGCCTTCCAGTACCTTCGCTGGGAGTTGAGGGAGCCTGATAAGTGCAGTCCTTTCTACTCTCCATTCTTAACCAGAAACTGGTCTTTCTGATATTTCTAAGATGCCCATCTTATCTCTCTGATTGGACCCCCAAACCAGGTCATTATGTTTGGGCAAAAGCCCTCTCTTGACATCCGTGGCATCTGCCCATCCCTTCCCTGCCGGTGACTGTGGTGGTTTGAAAGAAGATGGCCCCAAAGGGAGTGGCACTACTAGGAGGTGTGGCCTTATTGGAGTAGGTGTGGCCTTGTTGGAGTAGGTGTGGCCTTGCTGGAGGAGGTGTGGCCTTGTTGGAGGAGGTGTGGCCTTGTTGGAGGAAGTGTGTCACTGCTGGGCCGGGCTTTGGGTCCCCTATGCTCCAGTTAGGCAGTGTCACAGTTCACATCCTGTTACCTGTAGATTAAGGGTTAGCTCTCTCAGCCCCTTCTCCAGCACCATGTCTGCCTGCACACCACCATGTCCCACCATGATGATGGACTCAACCTCTGAAACTGTAAGGCACTCCAACTAAATGTTTTCTTTTGTAAGATTTGCCAGGGTCATGGTGTCTCTTCACAGCAACAGAAACCATAACTAAGACAGTGATAACTTATGATATGAGTCAAATACTGTCTTCACTTTTCTGACTACACCTTGAACTTCCCCAATGATACATTACAGCTGGCTCACAGACAACTTTGTCTATGCAGAATGCCTTGATCCAAAAGGTTAAAGTCATTGATCTTCATTTCAACATCCCTTAGAATTTCATAAACTGCTTCACATCGCACATTCTTCCTTTCTTTTTAAATTAAAAAAGAAAATAGCTGGAAGTGGAGGCAGACTCCTATGATCCCAGTTTGGGAGACTGGCAGAAAGATAATAAATACTAGGTCAGCATGGGCTAAAAAAAGGGTAACACACAAGCACAGTGGAAACTGACGTGCTTCAAGGCTTTGCTAATCTGGGTTCAAGCCTTGCCTTCTGCGTCTCAGACTTCCTAGACTCGTAATCTGAGAAAGTTACCATCTTTCTTTATGCTTCCATGCCTCAGTTTCTTTGCTGGCAATAATATGTCTCAAAAGATTATTGTGAATAATTGCACGATGTTATACAGACATGTAACAAAAAAGATTGCTTATGCACGTGACATAAGTGTGATTAAGGGATCAAATACGCAGATAGTTTAAAGGACTAGTTCCATCTTCTCTCCCACTTAACCTTTCATTTTCCAAGTCTGACATAAAAACAACCTTTTAAACTCAAGGGAAGGATTGCTAATAACTTATAATGAATGAAAGTTGTCTGAAGAGAGATATTTTTTTAAAAAATTAAGATCACTTAAAAGACATCTATTTTCAAGACAACTGCTTCTGTTTGCTATACATTTTGAATTCTTTCCAAGAAATGAACATTTCCAGGGTGTACCTTATTATAGAAACAACTACAAAAGTAGATAGCATTAGAGCTAGAGGTTTGCACATTAAAATGTTTTTTTAAATTAATGTGGTATATGGATATACTACTCTAAAAAGGAAACCTACATTCAGCAAATACCCTGTGTGGAGCCTTAGATAAATGAGCAGACCTTTGACAAAGTTGCAAGGCCTTTGTACACATCACACAAGATGATCATCCTCCTCAAAACAACATTCCAAAGAAACTTTAAAATCATGAACATAATTTTTAGAACATACTCAAACTGGATAGAACTGACTAACAGAAGCATATATCTTTTGAAGAGGTTTATAAGCATGCCATTTTCATTAGAAAATTATCAACACACTATCAGACTTTATGTTTTTTAAAGTAGACTATACAGGTAGGTCTCTAAATCCATGGCTTCAGATATTATTGGTAAGCCTGTACATATATTTTATATAAGAAGCATGCCTGAAGTTCTGACTGTGCCATATTTAACTTCATAGTCTGGATAACTTCTGAAATTGCACAGAGTACCATTCAAGACATTTTGAAAGACACCTTCATGGATAAAGTACTTTTACTTAAATGAAAGGTAAAATTCAGGATTTTTGCTTGCATCTGCTGTTAATAAAGGGATTTTTCAGTGTATAAGAAAAAGAAAGCCAGGCAGTGGTGGTGCACACCTTTAATTTCAGCACTCAAGAGGCAGAGGCAGATAGATTTCTGTGAGTTCGAGGCCAGCCCGACCTACAGAATGAGTTCCAGAACTGTCTTGGCTAAACAGAAAAACTCTGTCTCAGAAGAAGAAAAAAGGAAAGAAATATCAAAGTATAAAGACCCTTTGTTAGCATTCATATAGTTATTTTTTCACTTTTCTACAATGAGAGACACTTTTTATACACTTAAAATACACTTTTTCAAATATATGCTTTCATTATATGTATCATAAAAATTAACACTGAGTTTTTTTTTTGTTGTTGTTGTTTTGTTTTGTTTTGTTTTTGTATTTTTGAGGCAGGGTTCCTCTACAGAGCCCTGGCTGTCCTGGAGCTCACTGTGTAGACCAGGCTGACTTTGAATTCACAGAGATCACCTGCCTCTGCCTCCTGAGTGCTGGGATTAAAGGTATGTGCTATCATATTTAGCTTACAAGAATTGAGTCTTGATAGTCATTTCCAAAAAGAAACAAAAGTTTTTACTTTTTTTGTGATTATTTTGTTTGTTTTTGTTCATTTTGTTTTGTTTCATTAGATTTTTGAAGACAGAGTCTCACTCTATAGCCTAAGTTGGCCTGAATTTACTATGTAACCTACATTGCCTCAAACTTGTGGTAATCCATGTGTATCAGCCTGCTAGAATGTCAATGAGAACACTAAGTTAGACATGGCCATAGAGATATCACTGTGACATCTCATTTTATAGACAAGAAAATTTCATTCCAGCTGTTGAGTGATGCAGTGCTAAACACATAGTGAAGAATCAGGACAGGACAGTTTTCCTGATTATAGGAAGGCACACATAACAACATTCATAAATGCTTAGAACAAATTATACCTTGATCGTGCCTTGTGAGACCCTTAAATGCCGGGAATGGTAGAGAAGAGTCACAGAAACCCAACCAAGCCCTTTCCAAGGGTTACTCACCTTCAGTACTGGAGATAGGAGTACTGTCACATTTGCTTTCACACTGCTGCATGGACGGAGGCCGAACAGTTTCTGGACAGTCAACAGATGCCTGCCCAGTATAGGAGAGACACTGGACAGTTCGCATTTGCTGTCCAAGGCCACACTGAGCAGAGCACTAAATTCAAAGATACAGAAAAACAAAGTATTAATTTCCACAATGTTTATCAGATAAGAGAAACAATTTTAATTATTGTACATATTAATTTTCAAAGTCTAAATGCAACTGTTATTGACAGGTATATGACTCATTTGTTTTACTATGGAATTGGTTTCAAAACTCAAGGATTGCATTCTTGCCCTAGAAAACTGAAGCAGCATAGTACTCAGAAGACAATGGATGGTAATTTCTTGGGCTATCATAACTACTCCAAACAATGTTGGCAGATTTATAAGGGAATAAAGAGAAAATCCTACAGAAGAAGAAAAACACTCAGCAATTTTCAGGCCAGCACTGACTTTGGATTGTTGTTCACTACAGATGTTCATTCACATCCACCTGATCTAGCGCTCTGACCCTGATCAGAATGTTATCTCAGTACAGCAGTGGTGACTGGGGCAGTCAATATGAATTCGAGGGCTGCTCAGTGTGGCTCAGTGGGCAAAGCTCTTATTCCACAAGCTTGAAGACCTGAGTTTTTACTCTTGGAACCCACACAAAGGCAGAAGGAGAATCAACTCCAGAAAGCTGTCCTGTAGTCTCCACGCACTCACTGTGTCCATGAGGGTACATACACATACACCACACATACTCGCCATGCACACAATAATATAAATAAAAATTTTAAAAAGAGCTTGTGTAAGTACCTTGAATTTCCTAAGGAATTATCAGTCACACACGTCTTAGAAATAGTCTATGTCAGCCAGTTAGAATACTTTTCTCTCTTTTCAGCCCACATGAAGGCAGTAATCACCTGGTTTAAAATACAACTCATGGCAGCATGTCTATGTAGAACCTTCAATAGTATAATATCAATTATGTGCCATTAAACTCTCAGTGGCATTTTTTGCTAATAATGCAATGTTAACAACACGATGCTTAATTTTTTTCAGGCATATTCCATTGAGATTTTGTAAGTTAAACTAAGTGCTTCTGTAGAGATGCAAAGCTTTGGCTATTTTATGATCTTACTTTCCCCCCATGTGTGGGCACAGAGCAAGTATTTCTATAGACTGTAGGATACTGAACATCTTCCAGGCAAAACACAAAAGGAGTATAGATACTACCATGCTCCATGAGAATTGGCTACCTAGAAATCCTTTTCTTTCCTTTGTATGTGTGGTGTGTGTGTGTGTGTGTGTGTGTGTGTGTGTGTGTGTGTGTGTGTGTGTAGATGCCAGGAGTTGATGTTGGAAATCTCCTCAGTAGTTCTCCACCTTATTTTACGAAGCAATCATTCAGCCTGGAGCTCCCTGCTTCAGCTAGACTAGCTGGTCTGCAAGTGCCAAGGGCCTGTCTGTCCCCACTTCTCACAGTGTTGAGGTCTCAGTCACACATCACCACATCTAGCTTTTTCACATGGGAGCTGGGGGTTAGAACTCAGGTTCTCATGCATGCATTGCAACCACTTTACATACTGGGCCACTGCCCCAGGCCCTAGCAATTTACTTCCTGAGATATTATTATTGCTAAAGAGTGTCAACTTATGTAATACAGGCTGGCCTTGATCTCAAGTCTCCTGTCTTAGCCTCCCAAATTATTGATATGAATGACCACGCATAGCTGAGTATTATTTTCTTAATGTGACTTAATAGATTACCTCTTTGACATTTAGAAGAACAGTGTTTAATTTCCCTCTTATATAAAATATATCAACTTGGTTTTCTTAAATTATTTTTTACTTTATATAATTGTATTCATTTATCAATGATGGTCTGACATTTAAAAATACATGCATGCATATATATATGTATATATATTGTATAATGACTGAAGTTTGTTAATTAATAATATAGCCATCATTACATATGATTATTTTTGTAATGATAACCAACTTGCTTCTTATAGAATGTAACAATATCAATAGCAAGATAACACAAATTGACAATACAAGCATGCGCGCACACACACACACACACACACACACACACGGGATATAAATATGGAATGAAGGAAGGAAAGCAGGAACTGGACCAGTAAGAGGCTCAGTGTATAAAGGGTTAACTACAAAGTCTGATGAACCCTCAGCACCCCTGTCACATACAGAAAATTAACTTTTTATTATTAAAAAAGAAAAGTAAAAATTAGAAAATAAAATGAAATGAGTTTAAAATAAAATATGTAATACCCATTCTAAAAGTCCTGTATACTGTTTCCTAATTCACAGTCACAGTATCTATCAGAGAAAAGTAATTTGAAGTAATTTTCTATCACTTCAATCACAGCACTATTTTAATTAAGGACCCCAAAAATTCTCTATGAAGTTAGAAGGAATTATCTACTTTATGAGTGGGAAAATTAAGACATTGGTATTAACTAATTTACTACTGAATGAGTTAAGAACTAGGATTGGAATGAACTGGCTTGCACACTTCTGCTTATTGTGTCCTGTTGACTTTGAACTTGAAATGGTAGGATACAAAGAACTAGTGAGTTTGGGATATTTGGGGCTTGGATGGTAGTGTATGCCTATTGTCCCTGTTAACAGGTTGAGGCATGAAGATTGTGAATCTGAAGACAGTATGGTCCAGTATGGCCTACACAGAGTTTTGGCCCCATCTCAAAACCCCCAAATGATAACAATAACAATAATAATGATAGCAATAGAGTGGAATGTTTCCAGGTGTGGATAAATGTGGCTATGCAGGTGTGTGTCCACAGCTGGTCCCAATGGCTTGCCTAGTTTCACAGGTAAATCTCATACTTAGGATTCCCACATGTCTCCTTACTGTTGTCTGGACCCTCACAATAATCACATCAGAAAACTCAGGCTTGTAACTCAAAGGGTCCCATGTCTGGCTGCCATACCTGGCCCCAGTCTCCTGTCACCCAGCGGGGAGGAGGACAGCGGCCCAGACTACAGCGGATACGAGCAGGAGGCTTGCTCTCCTCTGGACATTGTGCAGCTGGGAATGTTTTAGAAAGGTCACTGCTCTTGCATAGAACAATCCGATGCTTGAATCCTGGACCACATTTTGGAGTACACTGGAAATAAAAACAAATATTGAATAACAACAGTTTAAACACAGGAAAATGTGAAGAGACTATTGAAGTAAATGTGCATATGTATACACTACATACTATAAGAAAAACTCCCAGTTATGAAGCTCCTTCAACAGTTTAAGGGGAAGTACTTTAATCTTTTCCCCAAGGTCTTTAAGAGCTAAATTCAATGTTTGCTTTTCTTGGCTAACATTTTCTTCTTTTATTAGGGATAGGCTTATTCCTCCATTCTTCCCCAGCCTTGGCCTCCTTCAGCTGTGATAAGAGTCTGCGGAGTTTTGGAATGTGGAAGCCTACTTGCTTGCTGGGTGTAGTCTTTGAAAGGGAACTTTTATGTTATTAGTAGACCACAAGAACGTGTCTTTGTGGGGCAAGCTGGTGGTGGAGTAGACCAACTATTGCAGTGTGGTAGTCAAGAGCACACGGCTGCAGCAAAGGGCACAAACGCCCCTGGACTTCTCCCTGTCCCTACGTCACAAACATTAAGAATTGGGGGTTTGCTCATCATACTGAAGGTGACGCTTCTTCCTATGTCAAAATGCTTTCCTTTCCCTGTTTCTAGATGCTTCTTTAAGTCACCTACTTAATGTTTCTGGGCCCTTCCTCCAAATCCTCATCTTCCTGTCAGTCAACTGAGGACTTATACACGTATGTGAGCTGTTATTTCTATCTTTCATCCAAACATGTTTCCAGATTCTATAGCTGTAAGGAACCATACTCCTTACATGTAGCAGTGGTTCTCAATCTGTAAGTAACAACCCCTTTGACAAACCTCTGTCTCCAAAAACATTTACACTATGATCCACAACAGTCACAAAATTACAGTAATAAAGTAGCAATTTGGTGTTTGGAGGTCACCACAACATAAGGAATTGTGTTAATGGGAGCAACATTGGGAAGGTTGAGAACCACTGCTCTATAGGATGGAATTGAAGAGTGGGGCATGACAGAAGATGAGAGTATCCATGTTCAAAAGGCCTGTATTCTTATTTAGAAGACAGGTATGTGAACACAAGGCTAATGCCACACATTATGAGAGTGGGTGTAGAAAAGAAATTCCTGTGTGCTTTATCATCATTGGCTTTTGACTGGTTTTCTTAAGTGTAGTCTCTGAACCTGGTATATTGGCATAGAAAAGGAGAAAATAATGAAGTGTTGTTTTAGATTTAAAAAAAAATCAAGGATTCTATATATTCTCTTTATTACAATGAATTCAGAATGAATTTCCTCCAACTTAGAAAAAGACTCATCAAGATGTATTTTCAAGAACAACACACAGCTCTTCTAAGATCCCTTCAGAGGAGCAAGGGTCAGGAGTTAAAGTCAAGAGACCAAAACCTTGCTCTCTTACTCATTTTCAAAGCCAAATGAACACCCTGTAATCCTGCTACTGCCTCACTCTTCCGGTACAACCCACCATGGTGTCATTAATCCAGCTCATTCACCATGGTGATGTCTCCATCCCCACAACCAGGCAGCTATCCCCCACACGACATTTTACTACTGCTTCTGCTTCCCGACTTTATGAGCTGCAGAAGAAAGGCAGCCCATGAGGGGCCCTGAGGGTAAAGGGAACTACTGTCCATTTCTGCTATTCCACTTGATCTTCATCAAAAACTGAGAAGTGTTCACACATTCTTATTCAACTACTATACTGGGTCTCAGCCCTACAAAGCTAGCCACAAATAGCCATGTCTATAGCCTGACTGTCAACTCTGGTCTTTAAATATTGTACTATTTAGGCATGATAATAAAATTAAATTTAAAAACAATCACTTACAAGAAAAAACAGAAGGCAGGGGATGCCACTTAGAACAGGGCCATTCTGAGTGTAACTGCGCGGCAACCCTGATCATGCAATCGGAGGAGGGAACAGAGAGAGCAGGGGCGTTTTCAAGGGTGTGTCAAAAGAAAACAGGATACCTTTTTGAAAAGGCGCCTTCAAAAGAGATGGATATTGCCCGCTCTTCTCCACAGTCCCCTCCCTCTCGCCAGAGCTCTGCTCCTCAGAGGCCCAGGGCTTGTGCTTTCCTCTTTAGCTGCTTGCACACTGGCTCTCTGGAGCTATTTATCTTTCCTTCCATTAACCCATTTAGGGGAGAGCTAGACTTCTGGGTAAGGAAGGAAAGGAAAGCCTGCCTTTGCTAAATAAACAGGAATGGCAGACAACAGCCATTTCCTCCCCCTTGACCAAAACATAATGGCAATAAAGATGGTGTTCAAGGCCATTATGTCTACACTTCCTAAATTATGCTCTGCCCTTGATAGTTTTCCTAGGTCATCTGGGAAGAAATAGCAGCTACTGATGCTTTCTCTAAAGTGCTAGTCCCAACATGTGCACCCCACTTCCCAGCATTTTTTTCCCTTGAGCTTTTGATTCAGCTACCGTAAACAAGACATCAGAAATATGACTAATGTGTCCTCAGCATGCATGTCTGACTGCAGGCAGTCTCCAGGGATGCCTCTGAGCTTTTTAAAGCCATCTGAGAATATCACTTCAAAGATGAGCTAGACAGAATAAAAATTCCAAAGAAGTGTAAGTATGATCAGTGTGAAATTAAATGCAGGGCCCCTTATATTTTACTGATATGCTTCCATTTCAAACATCATTTAAAGGTTCCCTTCTTCGAGGTGATTGTATTTGGTTATTTCATCTGAAAACACAAGTGTGATGATGATGTGAAATGAACCTATTTTATCCACTGGCAAAAGTTTTTTCTCGCTTCTCTTTTTAAGGGTGATTTGGTTCGACCTCTTTTCTCTCTTTTGCCTTTTCTTCTTACTTGAGGAAGGAACTCAGTCTGTAATCCAGGCTGATCTGGAACTTACTTATTAACTTATTATGTTGCTCAGGCTGGCTTCAAACTCACAGCAATCCTTCTGTCTCTGAGAACTGCAGGAATTACTGGCATGTGCATTACAATAGTTTGTGTTTCTGTTCAGACTTTTTAAGCAGCTTCCCTCTTCTCCTCAAATTCTATGTTCTTCAATACTTAATTCCAACAAACTACAAAGGCTTCTGATCCCATTTCAGGTTCCTCTTAAGAAAGGAAAGCAGGGCAGTGAGTGAGGTGAGGAAAGACTTACACAAATGCCACAGAGTCAGCAGACAGAGAAATCACTTCCCAAGGATGGCAAAGGAGACTAAGTCCCTTTCGAAGATCTGAAGCCAACTAGAACTGCGTGGAGCCACAGTCATTGATACACCCCAGAGTGTCTGAAGGTGACCAATGGCTCATTAGAATACTTGATGCACACTCTTGAATAGAGATTTCAAATGCTAAAGAGACATGTAGTGCATGAAGGTATTTGTAGAACTACATGTAACAGAACATTTGTGAGAAAGCCCACACTATGCAAGTAACCCCAGAGTTCCATTTTTGGTATGGCATTGCCACTAAGCTTCTAAATCTTTCTTAGCATGTGCCCACTTCTTTTGGTAATATTATTCCTTTTTAACAAATTCTCTAGCTTTTCTTATCCTCTCTACATATCTCTGTCAAATTCCCTGTTTGGGGGTCACAAAAATCTGGAACCCCTGTGAGGTGACTACAAGCCCTGATATCAGTGAATATCTCTCTGACCACCCCAGCTATGAATTTCTATAATAGCTATGCATTCATACCTCACAATTCCCCAGTATTAAACACTATCACACCATACTCTAGTTATTGCATAAATATCTTATTTTCCTGAGCCTATTAGGAGCTTTCATCTTCTCTGCAGTACCTATCCCAGGAAGCACTCAATTATACTTATGGACTCAATACCCCCAAACTATTGAAGCCAAATATATGATCTTCAATTATGATTTTTACCATAACAGATTTGTCATTGTTATTGGTCAATATCTATGTTTTTCTCTAAGGATCCTTGGCATGAATATTCATCATGCAGAATGGCTAGTATTATCAATGCACTTAATTTTCAGGTGAATTTAGACATTCATGAACTTTCTGTGGGGAAAAGAAATCTGTTTTCTGTGATTACAGACTCTATCATATCAATGTTTATATGCTTGACGGAAGCTAGAAATCCAAGTTAGGTGGGCAGAATGGGATTACAGAGACTGTAATATAGCCAGGCAACTTGAGAGAACACCCACATTCCTGCCAGAGATTCCATGAGTAACTGCAGCTGCTCAGACGACTCCTTTCATGGACATCTTTTTTGTTGGGGAGGAGGAGGTTAAGCCTTGACTGGTCTGGAACTTGCTATGTAACCCAGTCTGGTTTCAGAGCCATAGAGATACTGCTGCCTCTGTCTCTCAGTTGCTGGAATTAAAGTATGTAGTCCATCTACTCATGAACTAACTTTAACATAGGCCTTTCAAAGAGTGAGGGAACAGTTACGTACGGAGGTTCCTAAAGGAAAGTCTTTAAGTCTTTTGTTTGCCTCTGCAAACTTAAGAGGGCTCCTGGAAATAAATGTTCAAAGCAAGTAGCACAATGTTTCTAGCAGGATATTATAGAACCGAATTTAATATGCATCCTGTTTTGTTGACTAGAAAGAATTCTTTTTAGACATCCATTCTCCTTAACATTAACCAACACTACAGAAGGATTCGGCTCTTCTATGGGAAATGGGAAAAGGGTATATAGCAGTAGTTCTCAACCTGTGGGCCTCAACTCCTTGAGGTCGAAAGGCCCTATTACAGGGATAGCCTAAGACAATCGGAAAACACAGATACTTACATCATGATTCATAGCATTAGCAAAATTACAGTTATAAAGTAGCAACAAAAAGACTTTTATAGTTGGAGCCACCAGAACACGAGGAACTGTAGTAAAGGGTCACAGCATTAGGAAGGCTGAGAACCTCTGGGGCAGAGATACACACACACAAGCATGCCTGTGTATGTTATGCATACTGATTGGTCAAAGGTTAGTTGCCTAAAACCGTATTTTCTGCAAGGTCATTTTTTAAGTGTGCTTGTATTGTGTCATTTTGTCAAGAAGTATGCCCCCATTTCATTTCAGTCAGGTTACATATAATAATAACATAAATGAAGACATAATACTTATTTGACTTTTGGTATGCTATGTCCCTCAGCTCCCTTTCTCTTCTCCAGGTACAAAATAGAAGAAATTAAAATTATAGCTGGGTGATCAAAGGTGTTTGCCACCAAAACAGCCTAACTTGCTATATTGCAAGTTACAACTGATTTGTAAAGAACTCACACCTAAAATTATGTAATAAGTTACTATATTACTTAGAAAAATTAAATCTAAAAAAAATTTGTGGGCCTTCAAAATGAAACATCAGAAAGGGTATCTTTTGATTTATAGTATGTTTCAGGGTAAGAAAAGTTCTTGACCCAACTTTGAATTTCAGTTTTTAATCCCATATCACTAATGCTTGTGGAGCACCGGTAAGAACAGCCCCTAAGAGTATCCACCATAATGCTATTTCAAATTCACTCTACAAGTATTTCTTAATTAAATTAGAGATGAGTTTCTCACTGAGTTTTTTTCTTCCAAAAGTCTCTTACCTCTGGACAAATAATAATAAAATATAATATGGCCAAATTCACTTTTAGGTAGTTTATGTGTCAAATCTAATCCCCATGCTCAGGTCCGCTTAAATACTAAATGCTTTGGTATTGATAACTAAGGCATCTCAAAACATGCAGCCCCAGATTTCCTTACTTCAGACCAGTCCAGAGCTACCCACTGAGGTGGACATGACTGGTTGTTGCAGCTCTCTTTCTCCATAGGTCGGTGTGTTAAACAATCACTGGAGTCCAGTGTCTCCTCCTCAGATGGTCCAATCCTCCTGACGCAGAGCACGGCCCTCGTGCGCATCCCACCATCACAAGTCTTGCTGCACTCCAACCAGTCTCCAATGAACCATCTGAAGCAAGATGTGGAATACAGAAAATAGTGGCTTCAGTGCACGGAGGGTCCCTCCAGCTGAGCGGCTTTTCCCTGGAAAAGCTGACAGCTCAGTGGTAGTGGATAGGACAATGTAGATGCAATAGCCATTAAGCAAATCACTGCTGTCACTCAGTTGTCATCCAAAGTGCAATGTGTAGGCTATGAAGCAAGCACAAACTAGTTAAACAAACAGTGCATATGGGCTTTCAAATTTTTGCTCTCTCTCTCTTTTAACACTAATTTCTGAAGATAAATGATGTACCTTGTAAGATTTCCATGAGGGTTAAATTATATATTTAAGATCTAGAAACAACTGGTTGTCCACGGGAGGGGCAGAGTTATGATTTGTGCCATTTGCCCTGTTCTTTTTGTAAAAAGTAAATGCTTCACTAACGCCAATTTCAAGCTGCCAGTTTGACACTGATTGTGAATAAAGAACACACGCTAATATAGGGTCCAGGGAACAGTGGGTGCTTTAGACACTCCACTGAGTGCAGGCTGGGATGCACAGGCGCGAAGCAGTAAAGACTTCTATTACAATGACATAATGACATCGTAGCGGCTTCTTCCACAAGTGAGGAGCACATGCTAAAGTTCAGACGAGTTGGGACTTGTTCTCCAATTTCCAGAAATAAACTCCTGTGAAGGCAGAAACTTCACAGTCCTTACAGGGAAGAGAAAGACCAGGTATCTATACTTCAAATGTGCTTCTGCAAAGGTGGGGCCCTACGCCAGTTCTACGAAAACATGGGGGGGGGACTTCTTGCTCCTCCACAGCTAGTGAAGGAAGAAACTAAACGTCTTAAACATGTCCGGGACTTGCAAGTCATCAACGAACTGTCACATGCGCTTTTTGGTGTCATTCCTGCACTATCGGTTGCCTGGATGCTGCTAATAGGTCCAGTGGGAAGCACGGCCCAGTTCAGGTCAATAAGAATTCAACTTTAGAATTTGTATGTCTCAGCTGAAGCAAAAGGGATCCTTTCCCTTCTTGCCAAAAATGTGTTTGAGGTCACATATCTAGAGCTGCTCCTGGCCATGCTCCCCCTCAAACAGGGGATCTGGGAGTCCTGCTGAAGCCTCAGCCCATGATTCTAGTAGGTCTACTCCTACACTCTCCTGAGCTTTGTTACCTGAGCCTCATATACTGAAGTCAGCTCAAGTTGAAGTTTTAACTATTGCTATCAAAACTGTGACCACTCTATTCCTAATAAGCATTTGCTGAATGCATATCATTATGCGCAAGGTATTCTGCTTTATTTTAGAGGTAAAAATAAGATTCCACGTTAGGAAACCAGTTCTCCAAAGTCACGAAAAGAGCAACACTGTGACCAAGGCTGGGTTCCCATCAACTGTCACTGTCATTCCCATTGAATCTCTTAAATCACAGGATATTTTCTTCAATCTATGACTATAAACCATGCAGCTATCATGCTTATGTTCTTGGGAATAAAGCTAACCAGAGAGATGTGAAAAGCTCAGGAAACAATTCCTCACCACTTCCCTGACCAAAGTTCACTGTGCAGGGTTATATATGAAAGGCAATGTCTCAGGCACACGGGAGTATCAGCAGCCTAATGTAAAACTGCACTTAGTCTCCAAGTCAAAATTACTTTTGCTCAAGATTATTTGTTTTATCATTAGTTATAGATGAAACAAGGCTGATAAACATCATAATCAGTTTTAAATTTAAAATAGATTTCACACCTCAAAGAACTTTTAACCTAAATTCATTTTTAAAATTTTAATTTAATGTTGAATTAAAAAAACTTTAATACTGCCATATTTTTTTGCTAAGTCATTTTCCAGAGGAGATTTAAAGTGTTTCCTTCTTTTGCTTCCTGTAAATGAACATGACCCTGAGTTGCTAGTACTGTATTTGGTAAGGAGGAAAATGTGTACTGAGAATAATCATTTGCATGGATGCCATAGTAAAACTCTGATTCAATTTGCAACAGTGATTTCATCACCAAGATTAGGGGGTAAAACAGAAATGTGTATAATTCAGCCACAAAAAGCTCAGTCATTCCACTTCTAGCCATGATCTCATTAAGTCTCATGATGTAAGAGGGACGGAGGCCTGCAAATTAAGCGCAGGTGCTCCCAAGCAGCATGGTTCAGGAGATACTGATATTCTTCAGAGCACAGGGCCTTGGCACCCTCTAGTTTTAATATTTACTGATTTTTATTATTCTTTGTCACTTCTTTTATTGTCGGTAGTGTTTCCTCAGAATCTTAGACTGAATTGATCACTCTGCTCAACTTGGAAAATGTAAATAACTAACTAAGCACCCTGCTGAATGCCTCGCTGATTGTAAGCTCGTTTCACGTTCAATTCCAGCTTCAGCTGTATTGCACGTCATGCCATCCCTTACTGTGTCTCTTTGAAAGCCAATTCAGGGTCTAATTATTGAAGTTAACTTTGCATCTGTCTCAGTCCCTCTGTCCTCTATCTAGTCTAGAATTCCTGCTTCCTTCCTCTTCCTTCTCTACATGCCTGCCACACTGGTGCCTCCCCCTTCATTTCCTATTTTCTCGCCTTTAGATTTTCTAATAAAGTAATTCTGGGAGATATCATTTCTGAGACTATCACCTGTTGGGCCTTTATGGCCTGAGAGATCTCAGCTGGCTCTTTCTCAACATCTAGTTGTTTTTTGTTTGCTTTGAGACAGGATCTCACTCTGTAGACCAGGTTGACCTTGAACCTACTGAGATCCACCTGCCTCTGCCTCCCAAGTGTTGGGAGTAAAGTGCATGCTACCATGACTGGTTTTTTCTCAACATCTAGTGATCAAAATGTCTACCATCTGTTAGGGCTAAAATTAGTAGCACTCATGTAAGGAGGTTTGTTTGTTTTGTTGGGCCATTTGTTTTTGTCTGACAAGGCCTCATTCTGTAGCCCGGATAGGTTTAGACTCACTATGAACCCTAGTAGCCTTGAATCCCCAGCAATTCTGCTTCAGCCTCCCAAACCTCTGAGACTGCTGCCATACATTACAAGAGGATTAACGTTTGAACCTCTGAAAACAGAGTGGCTTGCTATACCTTGTATAATGGGATCTCATTCTACTATCTATTATTAAGAGAAGGGCAAAAAGAGAGGAACTACACAAAATTTTGATCCAAACTTGATAAAACCAGAATGTTTTTGAAGAGCTCGTCATAAAACCAGAATTTTTTGCATTATTATTTAAAGGAAAACAGCAGAGCAAAGAAAACAAACTGTTACTAAATAGTTATATTTAAAGAAAAACAGTCTTAAACTGTGGATTCAATATCCAGCATTTGTGGGGATGGAAGAGGCAAAGGATTTTCCAGTCTTTATTCCAGAGTCATCTAATCAACACTTCCCCCCTCCCCACCCTAAACAGTATCAGCGTTTGGCAGTATCATCTTTAATCAACAAGAAGCATTTATGTAACTTATTGTTTACTTAGGAAATGCTACAGCTTTCTCAGATTTAAAATCAGTTCTTCAACTAATTGGAAAGTGGAACTAAGATTGGAGAGAACATATGCCATTAACATTCGATAGGCATAGAATTTCCTCAGTTCTTAAACATCAATAGAATAAGTCTCTTTTAAATTGTGACAACTAGGAATGCTTTGACAAAGCAAATGAAGTCAGACACATAAAGTGTCACCAGACATTTGGTTTGTAACTTAGAATACTAGTGATGTCTGGTATAATGGGAAAAACATCACTAGAGATTAAAATCCCTCATCTGTGAAATGATGAGAGTTGGCTGAGATTATCTATGACTCTTCCTGCTCTCAAATTTCATAGTTTTATAGAGAATGATCATGAATCTTCTTCTAAACATAAAATAACAAATTATAGTTTTCCATGGGTGAGGTTCAATGATTCAAAATAATTGTCAAACATTAAGCCATAAAAGATTCTATTAAATAAAATCTATCCCCTGAATAAAAATACATTTCTTAATAGAGCCTGGTGACATAGGGCTGTCATATTAGCTACTTGGGAAGCAGAAACAGGAGACTTGCTGGAAATACAGAATAGTTCAAGGCTAGCTCAGGCAACTTAATAAGATCCAATTTATAAATAGATTGAAAACATAAAAAAAAATAAAAATGGCTAGAAATATAAATCAGTGGAGAGCTCCTGCCTGGCACACGAAAAGCCCTGGGTTTAATCCCTCGGACAAACAAACGAATACTTTCTTCCTACTCTGGGCTTTCTTTTATATGTTTGTTCATAATTCTCTTATTACACTTTTATATGATGGTTATTTTTTATATTTACTTGCTCATATTGTCTTTAAGAAACCAAACTATAGTGCTGTTTACATTTTATTGATTAATTGATGTTTTTAAATTGTAAATGCTGGTCTCAGTATAACTTACTACAATGTATAGTTTTTTGTTTATTTGTTTGGTTTCTACAAATTTAAAAACCATGGTATTATAAAAGAATAATATTTACATTAGGGAGTCTATGCATAAGGTTATATGTATAAATATTATTGCTATTAAAGCATAGCACCATAAACACTGGACTCTTTTGGCCTTTCCCTAAGTTCAACTCAGCTTCTTTTTCTTATGCAGGGACACTAGCTTCCCCAACACTTGGGAGGCAGAGGCAGGCAGATCTCTGTGAGTTTGAAGCCAGCCTGGTCTACAGAGTGAGTTCCAGGACAGCCAGAGCTGTTACATAGAGAAATGTCTGGAAAACAAAACAAGATAAAATAAAATTTTAAAAATCCTGTAATGATATATTCAACTCCACAACGTCTAGGTCAGTGTTTCTCAATCTCTGGGTCATGACCCTTTTGGGGTGTATCAGATATCCCACATACCGGATATTTACATTACAATTCATAACAGTAGCAAAATTATAGTTATGAAGTAGCAATGCCAATACTTTTATGGTTGGAGATCAGTACAACATGAGGAAATGTATTAAAAGAGTTAGGGAGGTTGAGAACCTCTTTTATAGTTGGGACGATGAGTGGCTTGAAATCTCCAAGGTGTTGGGTGTTTAAGAAAGTAGGTTTGAACAAATAAAGAAGCATGGGTCAACATGAAACAGACGTAACCAGTACCACCATCCAGAGGTCTTAAATGACCAGCCAGATGACAGGTATGCTATTTAAAATCTCAAATGTCACAGAATTAACGTGATGAACTGAACTCAGAATTATACAAACTATGCTAAATCTACCAGGACGAAACCTACTGTTAGTATTCAGGCATCTGTACTGGCCTGCCCTTGGGGTTCTGACAGGACACGTCCTCAGCTGTGCACATTCGCTGTGTTCCCTTTTAAAAGGGTCCTGCCCACCTCCCATCTTCTCTGTCTCTCTCTGTCTCTGTCTTCCCCTCTTTCTCCCCCTACCTCTCTGTCTCCCCACCCCATGCCTCTCTTTTCTCTTACTGCTTCTGTCCCCAGAGGCCAGTCTCCTCCCCACTCCCCTCCCTGTGAGCTTTCTCATGGTGTTTTTTGTTTTTTGTTTTTTTTTTTTTTTTTTTTTTTTTTTTTTTTTTTTTTTTTTGGTTACAACACCTAGAGCATGGATTTTGACCATTGCTTTACACAATTTTTAAGATTTTATTTTGAGATAAGTTTATAAAGTGAATTAGCAGAAAAGCAGAAAAAGAAAGAGGTCTTTAAAAAAAAAAAAAAACAGTCCATTGCTGGGCATTGGTGGCACACGCCTTTAATCCCAGCACTAGGGAGGCAGAGGCAGAGGCAGGTGGATCTCTCTGAGTTCAAGACCAGAGTGAGGTCCCGGGACAGGCTCCAAAGCAATACAGAGAAACCCTATCTCAAAAAAAAACAAAAACCTAAAAAAAAACAGTCTATCACTTTTGATGTTTTGTGAACCCTCACTTGGTGGGAACTACCACACAGTTTTACAAAACACTAGGGTGTATTTGCAAATGTGAATATATCATGTTTGCTTGCAGTCAAAGAAACAAGTTCTCAATTTCTGTCATACTTACTCAGGTGGGCAGGGCTCAGTGTTGCAGTCTCTTTGATTTTCAGGTGGCTTACTGTCAGGGTCACAGAAATTGTTCTGGACGATGGAGTTGTCATCCAGTCTTTCACAGGCCACTTCTTGTCTCTGGACACCTTTAAGAAACAGAAGGACATCATTAATTGGAGAGTAGTTTCCCTTCCAAAGGGTGAGGCATGTATTGTTTTCCTCTGGGAGTCAACCTCTCTGGATCACTGCTGTCCTATCTGTTTCAAAACGCTTGTCTATTTCTCTAAAAGAACAGAAGTACTTGTCATTATGTCCAAATTTTAAGCAAAATTATTGTTCTCATATTTACAGATGTTTTGAAGCTGCATTTAGTCTTTCCATTTTTATGTTCATCTTCATGCTTTCCTTTAAAAAATCCTTGAATTTTCCAAAATGCCATGAGATAAAATGTATTAATATACATTTCAATATAAGACAATGGATGCATATTTATTTAAAAACAAAGCAACAGGGACTAATTTACTTTCTGACATTTTGTAGGACAAGAGGAAACATTTTTCATTAGGAGGTCATTTTTCATTAGGAATACACCACACGCACACATTTCATTTATTTTCTTGCATTTAGAGAGATTGCATCTCTCTAAAAACTCATCAAGTTTAGATTTCATATGTAATGAACCACTTTTGGACTATGAGAAACTGGTCTGCTTATTTTAACAGAGTTGAATACCTGTTGATTGCATCAGTGTCAAACAATTACATGCATAGTTCATTGTAATGTGATTTACAAAATGCTCATCTTGCTCTTAAAAATTAGTCCATGTGACTTGTTAGCACAACTAAAAACATTCTCATTCTACAATTTACAAAATTCTTAAGTATTTACTTATGATTTATTGGCAGATATGCCTACCACAACTTGCTAAAATTCCCAAAATGCAATCACACACACACACACACACACACACACACACACACACACACACACACACACGACATTATTCATAAACATCCTTGGTGAAATTTTTATATATACTTGTTTTTGCTTTGTATCAGGAATCAAAAGACAGATATTTCAAGATACGAAAGAGAAGCAAGAGTTTCAGATCATACAAAAGGCATTGTTAACATTTCACTCTAGGAAATGGGCATAAAAGCAAAGCTGTTCCCTGAAATTACCCATCCCACCCTATAAGCATAAAGCTAAATAACTCAGAATTGTAAACGTAGCCCTGAGAGCATGCAGGTAATCACAGACTTTCACTCCAGCCAATTCTACTTAGTTCTTGTTGACTGACTGCCTGCCTGCCTGCCTGCCTGCCTGCCTGCCTGCCTGCCTGCCTGCCTGCCTGCCTGCCTGCCTGCCTGCCTCCCTCCCTCCCTCCCTCCCACCCTCCCTCCCTCCCTCCCTCTATTGCATTCTTCTAGTTATTTTTAACCTGTAATATAATTTCTTAAAAAAGGAATTTGTTCACAAATGAGGAGTTCTTATGAAACAGGATCATTTGATGAAGGAAACTTTCCCTGAAGAACTAGGCACCAAATGCATCTCCCAAGGCTGTCTAGGTGTGGGCAAGCTTGTCTCAGCTGTTCTGCTATGGTCACATTAAACTACATCCCTTGAACTTAAGAGATTGACAGGAGAAACTATCAAGTCTACTAGTCACAGGAGAATAAGTTCTGTAGCCTCCATCTCAATGGCGAGTTGTTAAAGTAGGTCTATTTTATTGCTTGCAGTGACAAGACTCCTCAGATCTCCTTCAGGAACATGTTTTTAGGGGGTCTGAAATATACCCCAACAATTTACTGGCAAAATGTCTTAAAGAATGTTGCATTCCTTCCTTCCCAGTCTCTAGAATAGCAAATGACAGCAGCGGAATTTTGAACTATTAAAATTGAGATTTTTGAGGGAAGAATGATTCATAAGAAGCATAGCTGTTATCCATTCACAGATGTTCCATGATATTCATCAGATTACCTCCTCATTGTGTCATTCCAGTGGGCAGATAACTATGTCCATGTGGTCACCTAGTCAAATACCTCTACTGTTAGTCACAGAGCTCAGCTACCAGCAGTGGCGCAGACGAGCAACTTGGCCACTCTAGAGGGAACGTTCATTGACATCAAGAGCAAGGGGCTGCTTTTTTAGGTTTAGAATGTATTTTTAAAAGACATTAAATGTAACTACTCTTGAAACAAACATGCTGGCAGGTAGTTCAGCATGTTAGTTGATTCTCAGAATAGGATAAACATCAAAACTACAAAATGGGATAGATGTTGCTAAGTACCAGTGCCAGAAACTGTTAAGTCAGTTTCTACAGGTTACGATAGAAGTTTAGTTTCTCTAAGAGAACACTACAAATGTTGTTTGTCCACAACTGTATTTGTTTAAAGCGGCCTTTGTAAAAGGCAGGTCCTCTGCAATTTCAATCACTGATCAGGCTGCTATTAGCAGAGATTTACATTTCACTTTTAGATAAATTCCAGCTATGTATATATCTTGAAAATGTTTTCTATGTATTTTTTGTTATTTGTAAAATGCAGTGTTTGTACTTCAACATGTACTCACAAACGAAAACTGCTAATTCAGTGTACATGGTAAATCATTCATTCCTTTAACAAGATACAAATCATTGGGCTTCTTGAATGATGTTGGACTTTATATTAAGAATTACAAATTAATTCAACTTTGGCCATGTCTTCCATATAGAAACTGGGAACTAAGGAACTTCTAAGTATTATAATTTCAGCAGGCTATTTTTTGATAAAGTAAAAACATCCTTGAAAACATAACTAAAATTTTTTTATATTTTACAAAGATATTTTCCCTTATACTCATCTTTATTTTCTTCTAAAATGTATCAACATGTCAATCTATTTCAAGTCTTCTCACAACACTATACTGTTTTGCTCTAAAAAAAAAAAAAAAAAAAAAAAACCCTACATATTTCCTTCCAGGTTTTGCAACCACATCTGTTTGCTTGTTTGTTTGTTTCTCTTTTGATCCTAAGACAGCATCAATAGGATCACTATAAACAAATTAATCTAAATGGATAGAGTTTTAAACACAACCTTTAAATTAAGGCAAATATAGCTTTTAATATAAAAAGTAGAAAATACAGATCAAGTGGAAATAATCTAGGTGAACAAGAGAAATGGAGTTTAGAATATTTGCATATGATTATGCCTCATGCACATATAGCCTCTTTTAAAATAGTAGGCAAAATGTTGACAAATTCATTTTAAATCCTATTGTAATAGTTATACAAAATTAGTATGAGTTCAAATCTGAAGACCCATAGTTTATGACCTAAATGTATAGGATGTCTACATACCCAGTCAGTGCACATCTAGTGGGAAAAATTTCTCATATCTCAGTGTTCCTAGCCCGTGGAGAAAGGAAGATAATCTGAGAATTTAACTGACCAAATTAAAACTGTGCTATTATATTTTTACTCTTAAAAAACCTTACATTATTAACATAAAACTGTTTTTTACACAATCCCTCCATGCTCTAAAAAAGTAATGAATTTAAAACATTACAAAGTAAAAATAATTTTTGATTTCTTATTTTGTTGTTACATATTTACCTTAAATCTTTACAAAGACTATGTCCTATTTAGAACCATTTCATTTGCCTACATTTCATTTTTGATATTTAAGAATCAAATATGACAAATGATGGTTTGAAGTATCAAAATATAAACATAACTGTGGGGCTCGAGCTGTTGCTCAGTGGTACAGGATTTGACTAACACTTGCAAGGCATGAGGTTCAATTCCCAATCCTGAGAGAAGGGATAAAAAAAAGAAAGTCTCCATTACTTTTTGTCTGTGATGTTAAATTTATCAGATCCTATGTTTAATATTTTGCCGATAGTTTAAAGTTAGGATCTACTTGGCTACCAAAGGCCCGGGTCTACAATATAAGGACTGAATTTGAATTACTGCTTAAATTACAGCAAATAGTTTTTAATGGCATATTGTAATAGTATATAACATAGGAAAAAAGAGTAAGAAACCTGCCAAGTGGCAAATGAATATCGGATAAAAGCTGTTTATTGTTCTCCCTGTGAGGTGGTAAATGTCCCTGTCACATTCAGGTCAATCCCAAGTGAAGGCTAAGAGGGCACTGGCCTTCTTTGTCTCAGATAATTAAATACTTGTTCAGACTCATTTATAATACAGCATTTGAAGTCATACTGCTCTTCTAGCAGAGATTCACCAGTGAAGACTTAAGTTCTTCATCTCACTCTTTTTAAAAGCAGAAACCAGAAGTTACTGCTTGAAAATTAACCATGGAACAGTGAGTGGCACATGTTAGATCACGGAGTAGAGGGCAGCAGTGGCTAAGGGCAAGAGAAAGATCTACACATTCTCAACTCTACAAGACCTAACATTTCAGTCCTAAGAGGACTCCATCACAATATATATATGACCAAATTAGTATGGAGAAAAAAATGAGAAGTATAAATGTACACTTGGCATTGAAGGGATAACAGCTCTCCAAATAATTGAGCAGAGTGACACAGGATGTCGTCTTTCCCCAGGAAACAGGTTTCTGGGGAGGAAGAGAATGGAGTACTCAAATTTTACACTAAAAATGTAGCTGAGTGCTAAGGCAATAATTTGCTTAGCCACAGCATCTAAAATAGTTAGCAACCAAGATAACATTATATAACCTCAACATACATAACATATGGCCAGTAATATTAATGTAATCCAAATATCCAATGCAGATAGCATCCGAAGAGTGACAACTGCCAGGAAACAAAACAAAACAGAGCAGCAGCAACAACAACAAACCCTCTTTGCTCTGTCTTCAACTGCTGGAATCTGGCTGTTGGGGTGTGTGATTGTTGGCCAGACATAACCATTTGCAGGGCACAGCAAAGAACATCTGCCTTGGATCTAACAGCTGGCACCCAGAGTACCAATCCACTCCACCCACATAGCTTTCCTTCTTTTGAAGAGTCCACTGCTCTTTTTTTTTTTTATCTTTCAAAAGCTTCCTTTCTTTGCCTTCCCAGTGTTTTCTGTCTGTCCTGGGCAATAGTAGATGTCCCAAGAAAGCACAGGATGGTCAAAGTAGAAATGTGACTCTAAAATTACTGTATTTTTCATTGTTAGCCATGGTGTCATATG